TGCAGTACTGAACCCAGCAGTTACTGCCATAAGCACTGTAACTAAACCAGTGGTGTTCTTGTATGCAAAAATAATTGTGGTGGCAAGACGAGGATTTTTTTTCAGGGTGCATTGATTTTAGTTTGGCAGGAGTTATCTAAAGCTACCAAGAGTTCACAAAGAAAAATTATCCTAATGATTTCAGAGACAAGGTGCTGGTTAATTTGAAGAATCCTTGTAGAATTTGCCATGGGAATTACTTTTCTCAGTACATTCTGGAGGGAGAGGGAAGAGCAATAAAGGTAAACATGTAAGACGCTGAAGGCCGTATCTTGGCCCTGCCTACATGGGGGCTTCCAGGAAGGCAAATGATGAAGCTGTTGTGTTTGTCTTCCCGAGAGATCACAGTCTTAGATTCTGCTGAGTGAAGCTTCATCTCTCTCCTCCACCTCTCGCTAATAGCTGCAGAAAGTTGATCAGGCCAACATCTGTGGGGTCCTTTTTCATAGTGTGCCCCCCGTGAGACTCTCCATATGCTTGCTTACTTGTTTAGATCTGCTTCAACTAGTGGACGATGTGTAAAATTGGGGAGGTTATTTTTCTGGTATTTTACATTAGCTTTAGACTTTCCTTACCTACTAGGCTTCACAGGAATGAGACAGATTATAGAAGCTCCTTCAGTTTCCCCTATTAATTATTCCATTGTCTTGCAGTTATTAATTACATGTTTATCCTGTGGTAGTGCTTTTCTGTATGCAGTCAGAGCTTTATTTATGCAGACAAGCTAAGACTTTGAGGAAGCTTTTGGGATTTGGAGGGGTGTTATTTGGTTGCTTGATTGAACAACAGTGAGCTCTCGTAATCTAGATTTTCAGCAGAATGGCATCTGATAACATGTCACATAACACTGTAGTGGTTAGCTGGAAATTAAGTAGCTGTTTGAAGATCTTTTCGTTCCCTGCAAATCTACAGCTGTGGCCTGTCACCAGAAGCTTTAATTGCACACATCTGCACAATGGTACTGTAGTTCACTCTCATGTTTACAGGTGTTACTGCTTGGATTCAGTTTCCCAAATTATCCCTGTTGTGTGTATCCATGGTGCAGAGTTCGTTTTTGAGATCAAAATCTCTCTGAAAGGTTTTTACCCTCTTTACAGAAATTCAAATGCTGTTTTCTCACGGCCTTGCAAGATATTTTCTGACTCCTCTTTATACTAATATTAGCTTTGTGCTTTTGAGTTAGGGGTATTGCATTTGTGGTTCCTGGTTTGGAAAGAAGCCAAGTTGTGAATTCTTTGGCTCTGCACCTCTAAAAGCCATACTGATTCTTGCTTACTCAGTCCCTTTCTGTCAAAGCCTAAAGATTGCATCTCTTTTGATCAGGAGGACATCTTCATACCTTTCTAGATAGTTTAAAAAAAAAAACAAAAACCAAAACAGTGCTGATTTCAATTGTGTGTGCGTGTCTTGGGCAGTGGAGGTGATAATTAAATGGAGAGGTTTGAAATCAGGTTAGTAATCAGGCGGAGAAATTGGCATGAAGGGACAAAGGAAGTTAATAACATTATTTGTGTGAGTGTAGTACACGGTGAGCAGCTGAGGACCTGACTTGCTTTCTCTGCTGGTGCCTCCAAAGCATTTTGTTGTTTTTTTTCCCTGGTTTTGAGTCACAGGCAAGAAAGAATACACATTGGCTTTTTCTGTCGTAATAAACTAAACGCTACCAAGGAATATTTATTGCCAGATTCCCAAATATGATTATCTGTGCTGGCAAATTACCCAGACAATCCTTGGCAAGGTTTCTGGCCCATGCCAACTAGCCTCTCCCAACAACTTTCTTCCACTGGTGAGGAACTGCCGTGGTTCAGGGGCTGTGCAGGGACAGGCAGCATGAACGTTACCTGCTCTGAAGCCTGGGGGTGTAGAGGCTGGCTGAGCTCAGTGTCAGAGAACTCTTCTGGGCATGTCTCAATGTTGTGTATAGAGTGGAGCTGTTAAGAGCTAGAAGAATTTCTGTCTTTGGGCCATGGTCAGGAGCGTTCAAGGTGACACCCCTTCCTGAAGAAAATTACATGTTGATCATTTGTACCCTATCCGCCTCAAAATGCTGCTGCTTCCATGTCTGTGTGTGGGAATAAACTCGTAAGATGACACGATTCCAGACATTGGAATGGGCTGCCCAGGGAGGTGGTTGAGGCACCATCCCTGGAGGTGTTCAAAAGACAGGTTGATGAAGTGCTGGGAGGTATGGTTTAGTGATGCTCCTTGTTTGTTGTGTGGGTGTCTATTTTTGTCAGTTAGGTTGACGGTTGGACAAGATGATCTTTAAGGTCCCTTCCAACCTAGAAGATTCTGTGATAGCCCTTCCACTTTCAGAGAAGGTGTAGATACAGGACATTTATAAGGAGTCCTTAGCTGCATAACCACAGCTGCTGTGAACATCCAGTATCTGAAAGTGAAGTTGGCACGATGCTCCTCCGAGGCAGTATTCTTTATGAAGGATCATAATCCGTCAGTTATTTTTCCAGCATGTTTTTATAGCCGATTTTGCAGTGTAATAGTCATTATCACCATTTTAAATCTCTTGGCCCTTCATATGCCTTGGGTTACTTCTTGATGTGAAGTTGCAAAGGAGTTATGTGAACGTAATGTTTGTAAAATGCTTTGAAGATGAAAAGCTCTACGGTAGGTTTTTATTATTACCAGAGGCAAAGTGAGCAGGAGTGGCTTAATGTTGGGCCGTTCATTTCCCAAGAGATGGCTTTGTTTTGAAGAGTGTGCATTATCAATTGGGTTTGAGACAAAATTATCATATTTCAATGCAGAATATAAGTAAATCGGCAGACTTTCTACCTTGAGATTATTTGCATGAGATACTTGTGAAAGAGCAGAGCAGTTATGGTACTATTTATGGCTCTGTTCTTAGCTTGTGTTTAATGGAGCATTTTTTTAATGTATTTGGCTTCTACTATCCAAAGGTATTTTGAATCCTACCCATTCAAGTGTCGTTATATATATAGCAGTGTTCTTATATCTGTATTATATATTGATATGAGATATTTATTTGAGATACATAGTGCTCTTCTAGAGATAAAATCGGTTTCAGCATGTAAATAAAAATGTGATCTGTTCAGAAATTTTATTTCATTTTATTAGAGTTTAGGTCACAGACAGTTTTTCATGTGTTCAGCCTACCGTGTATAAAAGAACTGGCTTTTTTTTTTTTTTTTAAATAGTATTTTCAATATTTCTTAAATCATTTTTATTCTCGGCCGGTATCTACATCATAAACTGATAGGTGGTTGTAGGGCGGGGGGGGAGTGAGCTCTTTGGCAGGTCTCGAGCTGCTGTGGTTTCCTGCTGAGTTAGAGGAGAGGGGAGGGAGCCTCAGCCTTCAAATGGAGGTTCAGCTTCAGCTGGCTAAGCGTGGGGGGGACCGCTTCAGGGCCACCCCGTGTCCTCACGGGGGTTCGCTGTCTCCCTTGCCCTCCATCACCTTTAGACTGAACATTAGGAAAGAATTTTTCACCGAAAGAGTGGTCGGGCATTGGAACAGGCTGCCCAGGGAGGTGGTGGAGTCACCATCCCTGGCTGTGTTTAAGGGCCATTTAGATGCAGTGCTAAGGGACATGGTGTAGGGGAGGACTTTGTAGAGTAGGATAGATGGTTGGACTCGATGATCCCAAGGGTCTCTTCCAACCTGAATGATTCTATGATTCTGTGATCACTTCCACCCGGCGCCCTTGTTTTGCCGGAGCTGTTGGGTGGTGTGGGCGCAGGGTGCCTTCGGGGGGCTGGCGCTTGCTGCAGCCGGGGAGGGGGTTTTGGGGGTGGCTGTTGTGGGTGGAGGGGCCGCTGGCCCACGGCCACCCTTGCGCCGGGTGGCCTGGCCGAGTGCAGCTGCAAAGGGCTTTGGGCTCCTGCCTGGGCACTCGCAGAAATATTGGTGGAATTTGCTGATTCTGCCAGACGCGAGCCCAGCACTTGTTCCCAAGTGGTGTGTCCCATCAGTACAGCTGTTGGTTATGAAAAAACCACGCAAAGGCTTTCATCCGCGATAATCGAGCTTTGTTGAAGTATTGTGAGCTCAAAATAATTCTGAGTAACGCTATCATGCAGTACCTCCTTGCTTAGCCTACAGGGAGCTTTCCCCCCCCCCACCCTTCAGTTAAAATGTTCGTTTATTGTCATCACTTATGTCAGAGGCAGGGAGGGAGGGAGGGAGGCTAAATTTTCCCTCCGTACTGTCAGTAAGGATTAACTGATGTTGTTGGGCAGTGCTTTGAAAATATTCTGACCTATTTACACAACAAAACTGATCAGAATAAACAGTTGTGGTCAGCGGCTGGATGCTGTATTGTGGCCACTGTATGTGGCAGTGGATTTTCTCATCATTTTTCCAATGTAGACAAATCCTGAATGCTACAGAAACCTTAAGTATTACAAGCAGATAATACCCTTACTGAATAGCTTGATTCTCCTGTTGCCTTTTGGGGAAAAGGGACAGTTTGGCTGTAATTCAGTTGGAACAAATGCTTATGAAGCAACTGACAAAAAAGCCTCTGAGTAGATTTATCACTTTGCCATGCAGGGTAATAAATAATTGCATCGTTTCCAGCAAGCCGCAGTATGTATCTGCGAGACGGTAGATCTCTCTCCAAGGTGTAATCTTTGCAAAGAAGCATTAAATAGGGAATTGTGACAGACTGTAAGAATTGTTGGTTTCCTGCTTGGATTTTATTTTCTTATTTTGTAAAACAACCATAGTGGATGCTTGCAATTACTGCCTCATTTTTATGTGATATCCCCTAAGGAATGAATCAAGAGAAATGTTACATTTTAACTATTTGGACAACCATTCCATATTTCCTGGGTCACAGATTTTTGGTAGTTTGTAGGATAAAATTGCCTGACACTCAAGATAGGAAATATCTCTATCTTGCATCTGGAACTCAGATTCTGAGAATACTTAAATGAAGCCTTTCTAAACTTATATATTTTTTTTTTCTGATTCCATTTAGTGGTAGTCCTAATGCTGTCCATGAGGTGGAAAAGTGGTTGCCACGACTGCACTCAGTTGTCATAGGACCTGGCTTAGGTAGAGATGAAGTTCTACTTGAGAATGCTAAGGTAATGTGTATACTGATATTTTATTCTGTCTTTATGTCGATTTTATAAACCATTTTCCTTTCTTTTACATGATTACACAAATGGTTTTGATTAGGGTTACTAAATAACAAATTTAATAAAGTATTGTTCACTGAAAATTACAGCTGTTAATCATGGTCTTCATTATTGAACTGTAAGCATCACGCTTAATTTTAGGCACCCGTGTGATTGTTTTGATTTGCTTTTGTTTTGACTGTGAAAGTTGCTAATTAAGAAATAAATGTTGGCATCTCCAGATAAAGGGCTCTGTGTTTTCTTAGGTGCAAAGCATCTGTACTGTAAGAACACAAATATGAATTTGAGTTCCTAATTTTCAGAACCACATTTGACAACTTGTGTCAGCAGAGGTACCAAAGAACAGGGACTGTGTCCCCTTGCAATAAGAAATAATACTCTTAATTACAAAATGTTGCAGATTTCTACTCTGGATAAAGATGTAATCCTATTATCTGTCAAGCCTTCGTGGAGAGCTGAAAACAGGAGCTTAAGATAGTTCTGTACTCTGAATGATATGTACTTACACAGTCTTCCAGATGATGTCTTGTATTACTGTCAACATACCTTCATACGTTCACAGTATATCCTTCAGTCTAATGTCAATCTAATTCTGTACAATTTTAAATTTAATTTTTTCCTGAGAAGTATTACTGAATTAATCAGTGGTACTAACAAGTTGAATTAATATAATGTACAGAAATGTTGACAGTTACACAGTGAAATTGCAAAACAGGGGAGGCAAGAAATTAGAGACCGTGCTATCCAAGTAGTTCAGAATACCTTGAGAGCTGCAGAGGGTGGTTTTGCTAGGCTTTTGTTAGAGAAAGTTGCTATTGGAACTCTTAATTTCTTTAATTCTTCTTCTGTTTCAAAAAAAATGTTTTCTTTATGATAGAAGTGCAAAGCTAATAAAGAACGTGGATTCAGAAAGAAAGAAAAAAGAAATTTATTACAGTCGATCAATTGTAGTCTGAATGAAAAATTTCAACAGATATTTTATTCTTTTTTGAAAATATTTTTTTTCAGAATACATTTTACAGAAAATTTTGGGCAATGATTTATTTTTTTTTCTTGATCCTCAAAAAATTTTAAAGTGGTTTTTTTTTTTTTGCTAATGGAACACAACTTTAAACAAAAGAAGATAAGAATTCATTTAGAGTATCTAAGGTATCTAACATAAGCTTCTTTTATATCAGAATTCCTTCTGGGTTTTATAAATATCTGTCAATGTGCTTATCTGTATCTGGAAGATTCCTTGATTGTTTTGGGGTTGTTTTTTTTATTGTTGCTAAAAATAATTTTGCTTTCTTAGTGAATTACCAGCATACTTTTACTTCAGCCTGGCCATCCTGTGTGACCTGGCTTAAAGTTAAAGAAACAAACGCAGCCAATGAAGAGAAGGCATTTGGGAGTTACTTCAGGCTGAAAATCCCAGGCCACGTTCATATGAGCTGTGGATCTGACCTTATTAATTTCAAGTCACAGTAAAGCTCAAGTTCTTTGTCTTCACTGCAGTTATGTAACGGTTACCCAGCACTGCTTTTTTAATCCAACTACTATAATCTTCTACATTCTTTGTTCGGCCAAAAGCTTTAATAAGTGCATGTAATTGGGGACAGGCGAGCCCTGGTTGCCTGCTTGAGGAAGACTGGTGCTTCTCTGTGCTGAAGAAAGGCTGAGTCTCCTTCTTGCTTCAGCAGCGAATTTGAAGCTTTCTATCACTCTTCACCTTCAAGAAAAAAAGCAAGTGATGATAGCATTGCTATTTTAAACTTTTATAGGAGGCTGACGGTATATAATTTTCTGTTTTCCCGTTAAGCTAACCTCAGCATGCTGTCATCTGAACGCAGGGCTAGATGGAGATTGGTGTCTGCTTTCTGGCCAGAGTTCTGTGTCAGAGTGGCAGTGAGGATGGGAGAGAGCTTCCCCTCTTCCTCCTCCTGCCCCGTTAAAGTGCTGAGGCATAGTGGTCTGTCACCTCTCTGATGCTGTTTTTATGTCGGTTCTTCTCAGTATTGTGCCAGCACATTGTCAATGATGGTGCTTGTCCAAACAGTCATGTGTTTGGGCTGCTTCTCTCTTCTGACCATTGAGAAATTAAGATACTAATGCAGTAACCTGCAATTTCTGGTGTGGGGCCCATGGATAGTGTTTTATTGGGGGATAGCCCGAGTGCATGTTGACTAGATCTTCTGTCTCCAGACCAGAGAATGCTTTGCTTCCTCAGCATCTTTACGACATCACCTACCTCTCTCATGCATGCACTGTGGCATTTCAACTCCTTTTAACAGTCGGATGAAAAAGCAGCACTTCATGGTAATTTTCCTTTGATTTTTTTTTTTTTTGAGACCATAAATACTCTTTGAATACACACTTACTGACTTCCTGTGATTGTCTAGTTTTGGTTATAACTTCCTTAACAAGCCCTGTTACAAGAAGCCACTCTACAAGTTACACCCTTCTCTCTTACGCCGCTTCTGTGGGTCTGTGCCAAAACCCTCACATATTGGTTCTCTGTTGCCTGGGTGAGGGGTGACACCTCTCTGCACCTAAATGCTCTGTCAGAGCTTTCTAGACATGGGTTTGCAGGAGCTGTGGCTTCAGAAAAATGTCCTGAAGAAAGCACTTTTTGTGTCCTAATAGCTGTGCAGCTGGATCCCTTGCAGATGTGGCAATCCTAATCTTAATAAGCAGTCCAAGCTATTTCTCTTCAAGAAAAAGGAAGAAAAACGTGTTTCTGCTCCACTTCGTATTTCTGGACTGTGCAGATTGGAGCATCTCTACTCCCCATTCTATTTCAAACTTCCAAAATGCTGTTACCACATCTGGTGTGGAACTTGGCCACAACAACCAGCTTCCTTGTAGGCAACATCAGGCCATTCGTTTGTCCCTTTCAGTGCCCATGATTGATTCTGGCCAGAGACAACAGTACTGTTACCTTCCTGAGTTCACCTCAGTTGATACGCTGCTGCTGGTGGTTTAGACTCTGTTGAGAAAGAGTTCAGCTGCCACGTGGAAACAAGGCCAAGGTCCCTACAACTGTCCTCTGTCAATGCTTAGAAGCAACATACTTCCAAAGCAACTGGTTGTTCTCCTTTTTTCACACAGCAGCAGTATTATGTCCCTATCGTATCTACCCACCACAGTGTTCTTCATTCAGCTGTTCTGTGGGTGTTTGCACTTCTCGTCTTACTCTGATCTGATTTTTCTTATAGCCTGAGGTTTGGAAGTAAGGGAATTTCTGCCTGTACCATCAAGAGCTGTTCCTCAGGTTGGTGAGAGAATGAAGTTCCCCTCCTGCAGGGTGATGAGTGCAGCTCCCAAGAGGACTTTGGAAAGAATATGATATTCCTTTGCATAGTCCTCTGGGAGAGGAGATGATGCTGCCTAATGCTCCAGGGAGATCTGCATTCTGCTGCTGCCTGGCAGTTACAGGCTTAGCTGTGTCCTGTATCAGTTTCCAGCCTCTTCTCATGTCCTTTCTCCTTGTGCTCCTTCTGGCATGAAGGGGATGTTCCTGTCAAATTTTCTGCTTCTGAGTTTGGCGAGTCTTTATTGGGTACGTTACTGGCTTTGTGGTCAAATGGGGTTCCTTGCCTCTCTCCCTGAAGGGATAGCACTGAATCCTCGACTCCGTCACTCCAGTCTTGCTATGGTTTGTCTGGCAGCAGCAAAGTTAGAGTGGTGTTTGCAGCAGAGCATGCTTGCTTCCCTCCTGTAAGAGAGGTCATGATTAATAACAAGAATGGCTCTGTGTAACTCAGATTACATGGTAAAATCCACTGGATTCTCAAACTACCTACTTGTTCCTCTCGCTCAATTCTCAGTCTTTGTTTTAGCTCCAGGAAAATACCAGCCTCAGTTCTTCTTTTGGCTGAGGCCCTGCCTAGCAGCCCTCCTCACCCTGCAAACACTACCCTCAGCCAGTTGTTTACCCTTAAAGATCTCTGCTATCTGTTGGGATATTAATTTCAGAAATCTCATTATCTACCCCTAGTGACATCATCTTAAGGTTGTGTGGAAGTATCTTGGCTGTAGTTAATGTCTAGCAAAGGGTGGGAGAGCTTTGGGCCACTCTCATGGATCACCTCCATTGTCAAATGGGCAGAGAGAGCCCATTTGAAATTTTCTCTTTTGGATGGATTCTCAGTTCCATCTCAGCTGAGGTATCAGCCTTTCTATGTGTTTTTTTGGTTAGTTTAATTAATTTCACCCCCTTGAGCCTCATGCCTTCAGGATTTAGGCAACGTTTCGCAGCCTTAATAAATTGAGAGAATGGGACCAGGTGCTTCACTACACTATCTGCACTAGTGTTTGCAAGCTGAAAAGGAGTACAGAATACAGAGCCACCTTTTGTTGTCATAGCAGTCCATTAAAGCTAAATCTGCTGCTGTGGACTTTGCTGTGGAGAAGCATTTTCCTCTTGCTTCTGAGCAGCCCCCTGAGTTCTGTTTGTACCAAGTATCAGACATCTGAGAAGCATCCCAGGCTAATGTTGCAGTTGATAGATCAGTAGTATTGTCTGTGGCACCTTCCACCATGTATGAATATGACCAACAGGATGTGTTAACTCTTTGGAATCGCTGCCTACATCAACTCAAGTTAGCAGAAAAATTATTTACCAGAAACTTAATTCTTCAATACGTGTCCCTTGTGCATTTACTTCCTGCCCTGTCTAAGTCCCCTGGAGACTCCTGCTGTGGGGATTTGGCAGTTCATTGGGAACTGAAGTAGCAGCGAGGACACACCACCTTCTGTCCTCAGCCTGCAGTTAGGAGGAGGTAAGCTGGATGAGATCTTGTGCCTGCAGAGGCCAAAACCAGAAGGCACGTACACACACCCACTGTGAGAATGCGTGTGTAAACTGTATTTCTTGCAACCCCCACCCAACCTCCAAGAATGAGGCATGTAGTATCCAGCAAAAAACTCCTCTCTTAGTAGCCAAGCCTCATTGCTTTCAAACA